AACGACAAGCTACCGATAATTACAGCCAAGAAAGACGTGTAAGTTAGCCTTGAAATACTGGATTTGTACATACCTTGATTTACTGTAGGGCGGGTGACGTCATGCGATGTCGGCGAAATGCACTATGGGATTGAAGAAAGTAGTAACTGAAGTCTTAGTGTTGTTCGTCAGGATGTTTTGTGAACAAAGAGCATTACGTAATGTTCTAGTCCCCCACAACCGTTACCTGTATCGCAATCCGCAATCCGTGGCGTGACATTGGTAACGAATATTGAAGAGAACATAGCATTGTTTTGACTGCTCTTTGCATATCCTCTAATTCTTGTTTAATGCTTGCTCTTCTAAAGCATCTCAGGGCTGTGACATGGTATATTTTTTCTGTTGATGATCTCATTTTTGCGGCCAAACTTGTAGTCTTGGATCCCAAATTTATTGTCAAATTTGATTCCTGGTCCGAAAACATTGAGTGATCCCAAAAAACAATCCCAAAGCTCAAATCCTGATCCTTTTTTTCTAAAAATAATACCGATCTCTGATCTCATATACCATGTACCGACTCTGGCATCCACGTTTGTTAAAAAATCCGCCAACTTTGATACTTTAATCAATAGCATGATGCTATTCGCCGAAATAAATATGACGTCATTATCCTAAAGGCATTAATGCGACTATGGTATTACCACTAGGAAAAAAGATGAAACAAAATCTCGAMCATCCGAACAAAGTCTACTACCTCAGGATTCCTACATCATCAGCCCCACCCCTGTACGCGGTGGAAAGCTTCCTGGCACAAGTACCAAGACCAACGCCCATATTATCGTGGAGTTTGGTCTTCAGGTAAGCGGTATCAACCCAYYCWGAGCATGCGTATGACATTGAACATCRTGTACATGTTTTAATAGRCYTCTGAAGCTWTTACGTCATKTACMGTATAYGCAATGYATTGTAGGATATGTKTGGGACARAAMATKGCRGATTTCTTTTGYTTTCTCTAGAAACTGATCCCACAATRCATTGAAACTGAAGTAGTAACGTAAAAGGCTCAGAAGTCTATTCCTGGGTCATGTTTAACAATAGCTTTTGAAAGCTGCTTTACAATTTCAGATGCTCAATACAGCTTTAAAACGAGGCAAGATGTCTGCCGCTGACCAGTCGCACCTGCAGCTGCTAGACCCATTTGTATCTGTGCTATCAGACTGTCTTGACACCAAATATGCAAAGGTATACCTAATATGCGAAGTTTGTACTTAGCCTTTTATGAAATACTAATTCTTTTTATTATTTGTTTTTTGGTTTTAGGTGTCGACTCTGAGCTTGCGATGTCTTTGTTTTGTAATAAAGCTTCCCCTCCCCTCCCTAGAAAGGAGTATTCCAAACATTGCCAAACTTTTATTCAAAACTCTCCAAAAGCACGCTACTGCTGGCGGTAAAGTAGGCGAGAACTACGAAATGGTTTTATCTACTTTCAAGGTAAGCATAAGGCAGTCGATTTACGCAAGGATTTAACAGACAAAAACGTAAAAACTTATTGATTTTAGCAAGAAATCAACAGATGTAAGCGCAGACGAAAACGTAAGCACTTGATATGCGCAAGAAATTAACAGACGTGAGCGCAGACGAAAACGTATGCTCTTGATTTTCGAAAGAAATTGACAGACGTAAGCGCAGACGAAAACGTAAGCAATTAATTTTCCACAAAAAATTAACAGACGTAAGCGCAGACGAAAATGTAAGCACTTGACATTCAAAAGAAATGAACAGTAGAGACGGACATATTAGCACAAGAACTTAAAATGTCTAAAGGTGAAAGAAAAATGATTATTTTTCCGTTTTGCTTCCCTCTCCGCTTGAGTCTTCGTTCCGTCATTATGGCATGCGCTAAACGGCTCAGGTTTCCGTCTCTGTTACCGTACGCGGTGACTTAAAAAGTGTTCCTTACCTAACTCTAGTTTCATTTKGAATATATTTTCTCTGTAACAGGCTATGACGGCCATCATACGGGACTTCAATAAATACACCATTGCYGAAAAACATCTGCAGGTAACGCTTACATCTAAATGGCCAATTACTGTATGCTCCTAAAAGCATGTCCTGTGACATTTTGTTAACTATGTAATTAAGCAAGTTTATGATAATTCAATGGTTTTAAATCTTCTATGTACTTTTAAACGTTTTACTCGTTTTACTTGGTACGATTTTTGATGTCGTTTTGAAGTGTTTTTAGTTGAAATGTTTAGTTTGATTTTAAAATTCGGTCTTTTTCATTCTATGGTATTTCACTTGGTTTGATTTTCCATTTTTCCTTTCATTTGATTATTCCTTATTTTATATTGCGTTCATAACCATTTATTCTCTTTCTTATTAATACCCTTTTCACTTGTGTACATATGTAATTAACTATATGTAGATCAAAAGTGGTAAAACATCGTTTAGTTTTGGCAAATTTTCGGCKTTATTACTAAGCCTTCATCTTTTGTATTGCCGAAAATTTGGCAGAAGACGTTATTGTTTTCACATGTTTTAATCTCCATGTTATTGGRGTTCTAGTTGCATCTTAACACAGAGAATAATAAGATTTTATGAAGATTATATGTTATATGAAGAGGACACATTATCAACTAAGCGGCTAAAACTGGAGTCATTTTCGAAACAAACTAATACTATGCTTTTCTGTCGTCCCCTTTCATTTTTATGTTTTTTTCTTTTTATTTTCAACTTAATAAAATTGTCTGATAATTGAATATAATTCATTCAATCTTTTTCATCTAAATGGAATAAAGGAAAATTTTTTTAATGTCTGGCTTTGCGATCGTATTTCAGCCTACAAAATTCAAAATTKACTTTTACAGTGTAAATTCTGTATGACTAMTTAARCAAACATTTCTTCCTGACTGTCAGCACTCCGCCGAGATCACCAGTGCTTTATTTCGCTGTTTACCGCGGGAACCTTTCAAAATTAAGAAGTATCGATTGGCTCCATTAAAAAAAGCCGAAAATGAAAAAAAATGATCTCAATATTTTCTAACCWTTAAATATAAAATCAATATTTGCCGCGTTGAAGCTTTCATAAAAAGCAGTTTACTTTGAACAGCCTATATAGCTTATTATTAAAAGTTTTGCAGCTGTTTTTAAAGGAACACTAACTAGCAGAAGTGTTTTCCGAATAGGTGAGGCTAGGTGATTGCGAAACAGTGGGGGCCGACTGACCGGATACAATTATTACATGTAAATGATTTCGATACATTTTAATTGAAAGATTGTTCTTTTTTGTCGAAAAATTGCTCTTGAAATTGAGTGTTGTGTTTAGAAAAGGCTAATTATTGTTTTRATTATGCRCTTAAAGCCCCATAACCYGAGCYTATTCGTTAACCAAGTCAGAACTTCGGTCGATGTTCAAGAAAAATGATGCAATRAAGGTGTGAACGCTTTTCAAGAACAAATACTGTACGAGTTTTATTGRAGAACTTAAAAAGTTTACAAGTCTACAGTGAATAAGCTGTTGTACGTGGGCCTTCGTTGAGAAAATTAAACAAGACTTCAAGATGCGTTTGAAAGGTGAAATCTTCGCTTAAAAAAGAACAAATACGCGAGACTTATTTGTTCCACTTGCAAATCCCACGGATCGAATTAAACCGATTATATTCGTCAATTGAAAGGGAACTTAAGTATGGCCGATACGTCGATATTCAACYCAGYAAATTCTACTCATGGAAATKCTACTTTTGTCATYGAAAAAATCACATCAATGGCCRTCAMTAAGGATRTTGAGTGCGCGGTACCTCTCRTACAAGGAACTCTTATTGTCTCCTTGAATTGTCTYCTATCCTTAGTTGGGACGTTTGGCAACTTTCTWATCATCTTAGCCGTTATCAACACACCTCAACTTCGACGAAAAGCATCAAGTTTTCTTATTYTAAGCCTTGCWRTMGCGGATCTTTGTGTCACAATGGTCGCTCAGCCGYTATTTGCTACACTGATTGCTATAAAAACATTTTCACATCAGTGCAACGTAGTTGTGAACAYTATWTTTAAAATAGCGGTGTATTTTTCTGGCTTTAGTTCTGTGTTTCATCTTACTGTTATCAGTATTGGRCGAGCGATAGCGATTGTTAARCCACATAAGCACCAAGCTATCATGAAAAAGCTTTGGAAGCCGATGTTGTGTGGTTGCTGGGGGATTTCAGYGGTGTATGGTTCCCTRGTCGTCCCTATTCCTTTCAAAGTTAAGCCWGTAACGATTGCATCTTTCTTTTTATGCTTTGTTATCATTATCGTTTCTTATGGGATAATACTCTATAAGATGAAGGCTTCTAAAGGAAGTGTAGTATCGTCAGTTGCTGTTGCGTCTTCGACTGCGTGCGACCCRGAAATACGTAAACATGTTCTATTATCTATCGGGATTCCCATGACGGCTTTTACAGAACCAAACGCGGCTGAATCTTCAAATAAGGGTGTTTTAAAGGTAATTGACGTTTCTGATGAACGTACCATTACGTGTGATGCATCTGGAAATAAGCAAGTATTACCAGTCACGGCAAATTGCGGTATATCTACGAAAACGCGYGTTTTATCTCGCGGAGGTGCTACGGAAGCTCCATCTTCTACAAGGACGGATGTCTTAAAGTCAACGAGAGCTACGGAAATGTCTAATTTGTCATCTATTACTACGGAAAAGCGTGTCTTTCCGTCAAACAGACAGACGGAAAACGATGATTTAGCGTTCGCAGCACAAAAACATATTAAACCATCCAAACGCGCTGCGGAATTGACTCCTGTTTTACCGTTTGGTAAATCTACGGAAAGTTACGTTCTAATTCGCAGTAACAGAGATGCGGACATTACTTCTTTAACAAACAGTGAAGCTACACAAGCGCTTGTTTTACCACAGCAAACAAATTTAGGCGGGGTAAATTTTGTTTTTCCGTCAGAAATGTCCTCAGAAAAATACCCCAAAGTTCACAATGAGGGCGTGAAATTGTCTGTTTTACCATCCAGTAAGGCCTCAGAGACAACTGTTTTATCATCACACGGAGGTACAAATACGCCTGCTATACCATCCAACGGAACCATGGAGACTCCCATAAATTTGTCGTCCGCTAGAGCGACGCAAAAGCGYGTTTTAACTCGCGATAGAGACACGGAAATGTACATTTTACCGTCGGATAGAGCCATGGAAAAACGAGTTGCCGGTACAATTGCGATTGTAATCTTRTTGTTTACACTCTGCTACGTGCCAATAAGCGGCTACTTTCTTTTGTATCCAAATGCAATAAGCATTAGCGTGAATTACTCGTGGATTCGTACTCTCTACCTGGCCAACTCGTCCATGAACTTCGTTGTGTATAGCTTGAGAATCCGGCATTTTCGTAACGCATATTGGAGAATTGTCAAGAAAATGCTACAAAAACTCAAACTTTGCTAAATCTTTATTATATTTATTCGTTAATTTTGTTTCAGATAAAAGTAAAGAATGATTAATGTTAAAGGCTCTTGTGTATCCAAGGAYCTTTGCGCRACTTTCTCACATACGAAAAATCATCATCTTTGATTTTAAAMCAATCAGAAAGCTGCTTTCTAAATTATATGTAAAATGATCGCAAAGGCTCATGGATACATCTAGGCCTTTGAATGCTACTTGTACCAATAAAGTCTTTTGCAAAATTTATCTTTTGTTCCACTTATGTAATGAATGAAAGTACCGATATCCCCTTGCCAGACACTTTTCCATTCGTCTTTGTGTGCTTTTTGTGCATTTATGCAGAACTGGCCGGCCAGTCCGCTCTATCTAGAGGTATATAATGCTTTTCGTCAACATTTTTCAGTCATTTCGAGATTTTCTATAGAATAATAAATAGAATTTGAAAATTTGAATTTCCTAACTAAATAGGAATGATATATAATGACATTTTCTCTGGTTCTGGCCAGCCAGTTCTGACAAATGGAAAGCGCCCTTTGAAAGGAAGTAAAGTCCTGAAAGGCTTGTTGAAAAATAAGCATTGGATGATGTTTGAGAATACTCTATATAGATATAGTTTAATAACTATCAATATCCACTAAATTATGGGCTATTACAAATCCAGCATTCTGATTGTCTACTGAACTATGGTATATTCATATAAATGTAATGTCTTTTTATTTGGCCTATTGTTTGGTTTACACCAAAACAATTAGACCATTCGGTCTTGTAACACTGGAAAAAATCGCGCTTTAAGGGTTGTAAATTTGATGTAAATAATATGATGCAAGTGTCCATAATTCTGTAAATTTAATGGAAATCATTTGCATCAAATTTACAGAATTTTGGACACTTACATCATATTTACATCAAATTTACAACCTTTAAAGCGCGCGATTTTCTCCAGTGAAAGCCGCGTGATAGGATCTCATGGAGTGTCAACTCGTAGTTCACTCGACCTTGTGGTCTAATCTTTAATTATTGTTTCTGCTGTTAAGGTTCTCTTGGGCTTCGTGGAAGAAGATATACATGATCATTCAAGACAAGGCACAGCTTTTCCTCTTCTGAAGGTATTTGTTTTCGATAGAAACTCATTATTTTGTTCATTTTATTTCTGTTTCATCAGGCACTCAATAATGAGTCCATGTTTGTAGCAATGTATTCATCGTTAATCGTTTTTATTCGTATTCTAGGCAATCTTAACGCGAAAACTTGTTGTGCCCGAAATCCATGACGTCATGAAGAAAGTTTGTCAGCTGTCRATCACYGGAGCCACGCCAAATGTTCAACAACAGTGCAGACAGGTAGTGATATGATCTGTAATAGTTTTCACAGCAATATGTCTTGCCAAATATACACCCTTTTAATAAGGTTGAGTGAAGGAAATTGTTGTATCCCTACTCTTGACTTTTTAATTATTTTCCTGCTGGGACCCCTGTGCACYGTTTGGGGGCAAGGAGACTGAAACCTGAAACCTATCCCAACCTCGTTCCCAGGGCTGCTCTGCGCCCAGAGATTTTGAAAAAAGTGAGCAGAGTAGCCCTGGGAACGAGGTTTAAACCTATCCTACATTTACTTTCCCAGTACCCTGTCTTCTTGAATAAGGATGCCAATTTGAATTCTACCTCCCCACACCCTTCAGCGACCTTAACCCCCTCGAGGAGACGGCCTYAGTAGAGTATTTTGATGTGATGGCATTGTGAATAGGGTAATAATAGTCGACTGTTCTTWCCAGTGTGTAATACAGTATGTATTGGACTACCCATTGGGCAAGAAGCTTCAGCGCTTATTGGAATTCTTTGCTTCTCAGCTAAGGTAACGTGTAGCCAGTGATTGTATCATGATAACTCTTGCCTTGAAGACGTACTGATATTTTGGCCATGTAGGGACACTATTTTCACGCCAAAGRTGTTTGTGGCAACAAAATCTGACTCACAAGTGTTTTGAAATACTGATACTTTTGTTATAGCTATGAACATGAGACTGGGCGAGTGTCAGCTTTGGAGATGATGACAACATTTTTCAACGCTTTCCCTGAGGTAAGCAAATTATTTTATTTTTTGGATGTTATGATCCGTCCACTTACTAAAATGATATTCATTCTTCTTTTGTTGTTTGGTTCCTTTTATTTTTTCTCACATCCTCCTCCATTCCTCCCTTCTCCCTCCCTTTCCTCCATATCCTTACCTTCCTCCTTTCCTCCTTTCCTCCCTTTTCTCACTTCCTCCTTTAATCCCTTCCTTCACTTCCTTCCTTTCTCTCTTCCTCCTTTCCTTTCCTCCCCCTTCCTTCCTCCCTTTCCTCCCTCCCTTTCCTCCCCTCCTCCCTTCCATCCCTTCCTCCATTCCTCCCTCTCCTCCCTTCCATCCCTTCCTCCATTCCTCCCTCTCCTCCCTTCCCCCTTCATCCTTTCGCCCTTTCCTTCCATGCTTTGCTTCAGGCCTTTCTTATACTCCTTCCTTTTTTCCTTTTTAATAACAAATATTTTGTTGTTTTTTCCCACAGTCTATGTTATTCAACTACGCGTCATTCTTTTTTGTGCCGCTGACAACAAGACTCGTCAACGACGACTCAGCGAATTGTCGGAAACTCACAGCAACAGCCATAAAAGGATTGCTGCAAAAGGTGACTACGATATCTTACTGTTGAATTGGGTGATAGATAGAAGACGTTAAGGATCGAATCATTATATGATGATCGTTCAAAAGGGGAAACAGAAAGCCTCCAAATTAAAATACAAAGTTGTTTGTATGCATGTGAACATTTATCAAATCACTGAACCATCAAGAACATGAAGCAACTTTGGTCAAGGGGTACGGATGATAAGAAGGTTGGTTGGGATAGCTCTGTTCTGAAAAAAAAAAGAAAAATACCAAAAATTTCAAATGTAATACTGCGACAAGAAATTCATTTTAACGTTTTAACGTTTTTTTCAATGTTTTATCACATCTATTCATTCATTCATCCATTCTTTCTTTGATTTCATTTTTTCAGCTTGACGTTGAACGTCGTGATAGTTTATTTGCGATGGTCGTGCAGTGGTTCGCTAATGAGAAGGTAATTGTAATTCTGATGTAAACTTTCCTGCATCATCTAACCATAATTCTCCTTTTGCCTCACCTGTTGTCCTAAAAATTTTCAATCGTCTAAACGTAGTTTACTAAGCGAAATCCTGTAAGACATCTTCTTAAGGCCGAATTAGGTGGAACAACTCTTGTCTACAACCATCGCAAGCAATGWGCTTGAATCAACCTTACAACATGCTTACAACTGCCATAGGGCTATTAAATAATTTGCCTCTCAATGACAGATGTAGCCATGTTGTAAAGTCGACTTGAGTTGATGCAGGCAAGCGTCTTGGCGTATTATTCGTCTTTAAAAAAAACCCAGAGACACGGCCTAAGTGCATCATGGTTGGCTATGGCAACTTTTTTTAAACAAAGTTATTTCTTCATAAATTTAGGTCGTTCTTCGTCGATTGGCTGCTCAACTCTGTGGCCTTTTCGTGGAAGTCGAACGTAAGGGATTTGACAGACGTTTAGAAACGACCTTGCCTCTTATTGCTGAATTACTAGAACCTAAGCAGTATGAAACGGTTAGTGTCCATGCATTTGTTCAATAAATCTGTCAATCAGGCAGTATTCATCTGATTATTAATTCTTTCTCTCGTCCTTCCATTCAATCATTCATTATTTCTCATTCATGCATTCATTTACTAGCCATTCGTATTTAAAGAGGCCCTGTTTACTCTTTCATTCTTTCGTTCGTTGAGATTTTCATTCATTCGTTAATCCATTCAATAGTTCATCCATTCATCCACCTGTATCAGTAAATACAATATATATTAGTGTATTATTTTTCATATATATTTTTATTCTTTTTTCTATTCTTTTCATATTCAGGAGGACCATACAGAATCATCCATCGRTGACGTCACTACATTAAACCGATCGATGGATCATTTGCTCTTCAATGCACTGACTACTTTGGCTAAAATATTACAAGACAACAGATTAATATGGTCGGACAAATACAAAGACTTTATGGAAAATATATGGGG